CCGTGGTTGGCAGAGCACAGATAGCCCATTGTGTAGCTTTGTGCTTAATTACAAACCAAACAAAACAAACAAACCAAACGTAGAACACCTGTTAAATCACGCAGTTTGTGTGTATTTTCCTTTCGTCTTGACTTTAATTTGATGTCACCCTGTAAACAACAACCGGTAACAAACCTGTAAACAAACAAACCAAACGTGCAAACTGCATGATTTAACAGGTGTCCTCGTACAGTTTGGTTTGTTTGTTTACAGGTTTGTTACCGGTTGTTGTTTACAGGGTGACATCAAATTGAAGTCAAGACGAAAGGAAAATACACTAGGACACCTGTTAAATCATGCAGTTTGCATGTATTTTCCTTTCGTCTTGACTTTAATTTGATGTCACCCTGTAAACAACAACCGGCATTCCAATGATTTTTGCCTCTTTGAGAAACTTTTTTTTTTTGAGGAACATATTCGATAATATTTTTTAAGGTTTAAGTAATGGCAGTTTACGTTTGCTTCTTTCAAAATTGTCAAGTTTTGTCTTCCTTACAGCTGTTTTTAAAACACTTTTCTTATTTTCCTGGGTACGACGTTTACACTTTGTCTATAAAACTTTGCCAAGTATTTTTTTTCAAAAATTTCACAACTTTTCGACCAGAATGAAGCCATTAGCAGCTTTAGAACATGTTAAAGATTTTTTTTTATTTATCCCAAAGTGACAAATGTCACTTATTTGTTCTTTTCCAAGGGTTGGAGAATTTGAGATTGTTCGAGACTCTTTTACTCTTTATAGAAGAAAACCCGAGTTTAACAACAACAAAAAAATGATTCTGTTTTTTTTTTCGTTTCCTTATCCTTAAAAACCAACGTCTTGTACACGATTTATTTTTTCCATGGCTCAACGGTAAAATAGTGTGCTTATAACGCTAAAAATAGGATTTAGATACTTTCTACTTTACAACAAACCAACAAACATCCACCGCAAAAAACATCAACAACAATTTGTTCCTAAACGCCCCCTGTTGGGAAGAACAGGCAACTAACACGTTGCTTTCTCTTCCTTCAAACAAAATTCCTGCCATGTTTTTTTTTTGCGTTCCCCTTCATCCCCCGAGTGGAGAAATTTTACCAATTGTGTTTGCTTTTGATTTCGTGGGTTTTATTTCTTGCAAACATGTTTTCGGAAAGCTGTTAATAATTCGGAGAATATACAAAGATCTCGGCACCGAAGGATTTCTTGTTCTTCTGGTTGGTGGTTTCATTCCAGTTAAACGAAGATCTTGTCACTGTAGGATTTCTTGTTCTTCATGGTTGGTGGTTTCATTCCAGTTGAACGAAGATCTTGTCACCGAAGAATTTATTGTTCTTCATGG